TGTGTGTGTGTGTGTGTGTGTGTGTGTGTGAAGGGGGGGGGGCAATTATGTACAACTCCCCCTTCTCTCGCTACATTCTCCTCTCTCTCTACCCCCTACGGTGGCCCTGATGGGACACAACCTTTCATTTGCTCATTGCGGTAATTGGTGTATGTGAGGGGGAGGTACATGTGTTCTGCTCCCCCTCTGCGTCTGTCAGAGAATTAGAAAATGGAATTCTCTGAAGAGCAGCGTGCATCTGCCTCCCTTGTCCAAGATGACACATTTTCATTATTCACTGTGTGACAGAACAGATTTCTCCGTCCTCCGGCCACCGGCATACATTATGATTTGCCATTCGGAAAAAAATAATTTCCATTGTGATTAATTTCGCAAAAGTGCGTTTAAACAAATGGGTGTTAAATTAAATGCTTCTGTAATTAGGTCATTTTTTTGCCACAGGTCTTTCTCAACTGGCATTTAAAAAATATATAAATGATAACGTCTCTTCGCAACGGAAACAGTGTTCAAATTGGTTCGCAAATTAATTAGCTCTATAGGATGAACAAAAAATAATATGTTCGCCTGAAGTGTCATCAATTGATGCCTCTTCACTGTTACATTAAATCCCAATGTAAACCAAATCACATGGTGGCAATATTCGTAACAATTATTTTAAAGCTTTTTGCTAATGTGTAATGCAAAAAAGGTACATTAAAGTCAACTAATGTGTGATAACCTTCCGTTTTATTAACCGTCTTTTCTGTCTCACTTATTTTGTGCGTAAATGCTTTTGTAAAGCACTTACAAATGCATTTGTGTCTGAAATGTGCTACATAAATTAATTAACCTTAACATACCATAACCTACACCGCCTTATAACACGAAATGTGCTGCTGAAATGATGACTCTATTCATCGATAACTTGGTTAATAGTGCCTTACAAAAAAGCATTCACTTCGGAAACAATTAAGTATTCCAAAAAAAATGGAGTCTTATATAAATCATAATTTGATCCCTTGGCGGATTTAACATCATTGACATGTACATTTATATGAATGTATATATGTATATATGTATATATAATACACAATGTATACATGAGTATACATGAGTATACATGAGTATATGTTAAGTATTATTATTTGATGACGCCCTTAGTCTGTGTACTACGGTAGCAGTCGCACTGTTATTCTGTTCTTGTATGAAGGTACGTCCTAATGTGACGTCACTACGTTGACTAGGTACGTCCTAATGTGACGTCACTACGTTGACTGTTGTCAGTCTGTGAATAAACTTACCGGAGACATGCTGAAGAGAATACCGAGTCTGATTTACTTATTGTTCATACGCGATTCATGTGCACCCAAGCTTAACAGGTTATGGGCCCAGGCAGAGTTGGACACAAACCGACTTGGAGATAAGTGAGTTAGATTATCGGAAGAAGTGTTACGCGACGTATTACGCGTTAGCCCATTAAGCTAACAAGCTAGCTTAGCAAGTGAAGTATATTAGCAAGCTAGTAGCCCTCGCGGTAAAGTTGGCGCGCAAAAATGGCAAGCAGAGCAACAGGTCTCCTGGCACCGCAGCTCTTATTCAAAGGATGTGAAGATAAGTATGACCTTTGGGAAACAAGATTCCTAGGCTGCTTACATACTCTGAGGCTAAAAGAGACTATCTTACATGAGCCCACCGGTGCTGATCAAGAACAGCTAGATGCAGATAGAAG